CTTGGTCATGGTGTATGATCTTTCTAATGTAATGCTGAATCTAATTTGCTAGAATTTTGTTGAGGATTTTAGCATCTATGTTCATCAAGGATATTGGCCTGTAGTTCTCATTTTTTGTATCTTTATCTGGTTTTGGGATTAGGGCAATGCTGGCTTCATAGAAAGAGCTAGAAAGTGTGCCTTCCTCTTGAATTTTTTGGAATAGTCTGAGGAGGATGATTTTAGTTCATCTTTGAATGCTTGGTAGAACTCCCCTGTAAAGCCATCCAGACCAGGCATTTTGTTTGCTGGAAGGTTTTTGATCAGTGCTTCAGTTTCTTTGGTAGTTATTGGCCTATTCATGTTTTTTTTTTAAATTATTATTATTCTTGATTGAGTTTTGGGAGCTTGTACTTTTTTAGGTATATGTCATTTTCCTCTAGGTTGTCTATTTGTTCATAGTATTTTTTCATAATGGTTTGTATTTCTGTGGGATTGGTTGTTACTTCATCTCTTTCATTTCTGATTGTGTTTATTTGGGTCCTCTCTCTCTGCTTCTTGGTGAGCCTGCTAGAGGTTCATCAATCTTGTTTATCCTTTCAAAGAACCAGTTTCTCATTTGTTGATCTTTTCTATTGTATTTTGGTTTCTATATCATTTATCTCCACTCTGATCTTTATTATGTCCTTCCTCTGCTTATGCTAGGCTCTTCTTGTTGCTCTCTTTCTAACTTTTTGAGCTGTAGGGATAGATAATTTTTTAAATAATTTTTTTCTTATTTCTTCTTCTTCTTCTTCTTCTTCTTCTTCTTCTTCTTCTTCTTCTTCTTCTTCTTCTTCTTATTATTATTATTATTTATATATAGGCCTGTAGAGCTATGAACTTCCCTCTCAAGACTGCTTTCACTGTGTCCCATAGATTTGGATTGTTGTGTTTTCATTATCATTTGTTGCCATGATGATTTTTATTTCTTCTTTGATCTCTTTGGTAACCCAATCATTGTTTAGTAGCATGTTATTTAGCCTCTAGGTGTTTGATTTTTTAATTATTTTTTTATTGTAGTTGATTTCTAGTTTTATGCCATTGTGATTTGAGAAGATGCCACTCTAATCTGAGAAGATGCTTGATCTGATTTCTGTCTTCTTGAGTTTGAAGAGACTTTGCCTGTGCCCCAATATGTGGTCTATCTTTGAAAAAGACTCAGGTGTACTTGAGAATAATGTATATTCTGGGGTTTTGGGGTGAAATGATCTGTTGATGTCAGTTAATTCCATCTGATCTCATGAGTCATTGAGGATTGATGTTTCTTTGCTGATTTTTTGTTTAGAGGATTTATCCAATGGTGTTAGTGGGTATTAAAGTCCCCTACTATGACTGTATTTCTATCAATCTCTCCCTTTATATCCTCCTGAAGTTTTTATTTTTATTTTATGTATTTGGGTTCTCCTATATTGGGTGCCTATATGTTTACCAGTGGTATATCTTCTTGCTTAATTGCTCCCTTTAGCATTATGAAGTGTCCTTCCTTATCTCTTGTTATGGCCTTCACTTTTAGGTCTAATTTGTCAGATTTAAGTATTGCTACCCCAGCTTTTTTTTCTTCTTCTTTTTTTTTTCTTTCTCATTTCCATTTGCCTGAAAAACCTTTTTTCCATTCCTTCATCATCACTTTGTATGAGTCCTTTGTTCTGAGGTGTGTTTCCTTTAGACAGCAGATATATGGGTCATATTTTCTTATCCACTCAGCTACCCTGTGTCTTTTGATTGGGGCATTTAACCCATTTACATTCAAAGTTATTGACAGGTACTTGTTTTTCCACCATTTTTATTCTTTATGCCTTTGTTCCTTGTTCCCTTCATATTTCTTCTTTTTATAACAGACCTTTTAGCATTTCTTACATTTCCAGTTTGGTGGTAATAAACTCCCTTAATCCGCCGAAACTGGTTTGGCTCAGTGGATAGAGCATCAGCCTGCAGACTGAAAGGTCCCGGGTTCGATTCTGGTCAAGGGCATGTACCTCGGTTGCAGGTACATCCCCAGTGGGGTGTGCAAGAGGCAGCTGATCAATTATTTTCTCTCATCGATGTTTCTAACTCTCTAACCCTCTCACTGGGTCCACCTATTTAAAAAAAAAATTTTTTTTGTTGATCTCTTTCCACCCAACCACCCCTCTGAGATTTTGTTCAACAGTTTATTTTGTTCTTTAGATTCCATACATATGAGTAAGATCATGTGATACTTGTCTATCTCTGACTGGGTTATTTCACTGAGCATAATACTCTTTAGGTCCCTCTATGCTGTGTGAAAAAGCAAGAGATCCTTATTTTTTACAGCTGCATAGTATTCCATGATATAAATCTACCACAGTATTTTCATCCACTCATCTACTGATGGGCACTTGGGCTGTTTCTGGATCTTAACTATTGTAAATTATGCTGCTATGAACATAGTAATGCATACATTCTTTCTGATTGTAATTTTGGGTCTCTTATTCCTAGACATGGGATCACTGGGTCCACCTATTTTTATAATTTTTTTTTTCTTTTTCTTTCTCTGATTAGAATTTAGTTCTAATTCACTAATCTGATGCTTGGCTTCCCCTAACCTGCTATGTATTCCTTCCACTGTGTTCTTTATTAGTGCTATGTCATTCTTCATGGTTACTATATATTTTCGCATGCTATTGAGCATCTTTGCCATCATTATTCTGAATTCTTTGTCTTAAATTTCTTATCTCTATTTTCACTTAGCTCTTCTTCTGGAGACTTTTCTTTTTCTTTCTTTTTTGTTTGTGGTTTTTTTTGTTTGTTTATTTGTTTGGGGCTTGTTTTTTTGTCTCCCCATTTTGGCTGCCTGTTTGAATTTGTGTCTCTATACTAGGTAGATCTGCTACACCTCCCAATTTCTAGTGCAGGTCAGTGTCAGACGCTGTTTCTTACTGGCATTGAGTATTCTGTTTGGAGCTATCAGCAATCCACAGAGTGTGACTTCCTCTGCTGGGACTGGGTGCCTTTGGAAAAGATGAAGATGTGCACTGAAGTTTGCCTTTCCTAGCCTCGGGCCATGAATTAGATCAGGCAAAGACTCAAAGCCTCCAGAGACCTTCCTTGCCAGCAGTCTGTTTGTATTCAGGCTTGATTATCCTATCAACTACAGTGTGGGGTGAGAGGTTTTCCAACAGGGTCAGACAATTGCTTCTGCCTGCAGGCTGATTGTTATTCTTGGCCTCTTAATGGGCCTCAGAAACTGCACAGGGTTGGCAAAAGGGTTTTCTGGCAGGTGGGGCAACTGCCTTTCCTCTAAACACTGCCTGGATAGCAAAAGTCTGTCTGAGAAAGATATCCTCTGCAGCGTGAAGAAATGACTCAGCACAGGAAACTAGGGTGTCTACCTTTCACAGGTCTAACCCCAGAGTTCTCAACCCTGGCTTCTGCTCACCCAACTCCAGTCCACTCTGCCCTCACTCTGCTGGAGACCAAGGTGATTAGTTGCACATGAAATTTAGTGTGAAGGCCCTTTTAGAGGGTGCCTGCATTTCTAGTCTTCTCTCCCTGGCAGACAGAAATCCTGCTGCTTTTCAAAGCCAGAGAGCCTTTCTCAGTTCTGGTGCTCTGGGATTGGGAGCCCAGCTTAGGGTTTAGATCTCAGAGTTCTCAGTGGGAAACCCCATAGTTGAGATATCCCTCCAGAACTTCATCTGCTGTGTGTGGGAGCCCAGCCAGCCCTTTTGCACCTCCGCACTTTCTACCAATCTCTATGTAGTCTCCACTTTCCAACCTTGGTTTTCAGGTTCTCTTAGCTAGCCTTCAGTTAATTATTCAGGATGGTTTTTCTGTAGTTTAGTTGTAATTTCAATTTGGTCCTAGAAGCATGTACTTACTCCATCACCATTTTGGAACCCAGCATTTTATTATTATTAATATTCTGGTTCTATAGGAATATAAAGAAGAAATGCTTATAATAACCTCATGAATTAAATTTTTCATTCTACTTGAAAACTGCTAATTCTTATTCTAAGATCTTCTATCTTAAATGATCTTTTAAAGTCCTGTGAGATTTTGCTTGTTTTTCTGATTAAAATTCATAGTTACTTCCTCAAAATTTACTTTTTAAACTTGCTTAGATGATTATTGTAGTGGGTTTTGGTTGGCTAACTAAATTACTCATTCTTAGCCAAACCAGTCATTTATAATAGGGTGTGGTTTTTACTTCCAGTTTTTTCATATAAAATTAAGAGAAAACTTGGCTTTCTTTACTACAGCAGGAAAAACTCTTTTTTCATTTCTCTTTTTTTAAATTAGTTTGCTAAATAATTGCTATATGAAGAATATAATCTGTAAGATCATGCTGTTTACTTAACTTTTTCATCTAGGATTAACTTTTCAGGGAAAGAGAACATTTGACATTGAATCTTATTACTTTGGCTTCATCAGAGCTGACATTAGGTCAGTTTAGAGCACATGTGTCAAACACAAGGCCCGCGGGCCAAATCCGTCCCGCCAGGCCTTGCAATGTGGCCCGCACCGCGCTGTCATCATTGCACTCCGCTGTGTTTCCATCACAATGACAGTTTATGACTGTTCAGTAAACCATTCGGCCCGCGATTTAGGCTGGATTTTAGATTTTGGCCCCTTCTCTGATTGAGTTCGACACCCCTAGTTTAGAGAGTAGTTCAGCAGCTTTGTGCTTCTAAATAATTAAGCTTTTGTTACCCATGCTGCCCAGTGCAACAATTTTATTCACTCTGGATAGCAAGTCCATCCAGATGGAGATCAAGTCCATCACATGTTCCTCTTGCTTAATATTTAACTTGACCCTTTGCTCTTAAAAATATACTTATTCAACCTCCTTTACTTCTTTCTTCTCTTGTTTTATTTTTTCCTCTCTGATGATATCTCTTTTTTCTGGATTTACTTCTGAAGGGAAGAACATTTAATAAACAAATAGCCCTTGTTGATAAATAGGCTCTCCTTGTGTTAACTAATTAGTCTACTTCACCGAGTCTTCCATCGTTTTCCAGGACAATCTCCGTAAGAAGGATGACAGAATTGAAGAGCTGGAAGAAGCACTAAGAGAGAGTGTACAGATAACTGCAGAGCGAGAAATGGTGCTAGCACAAGAGGAATCAGCCAGGACCAATGCTGAAAAACAGGTCTGCGATTTTATACAGTTACTGGCAATGCAGCTAGTTAAACAAAAGGTAAAACCCAAACAGTGTAGTCTAGGGAAACTAAACATAATGTATATTTATATGGTTTCCAAAACACTCATCAAGTGTAAGTACTTAGACTTAAGTAAGAACTGAAATACGTATAGCTATATAAGAATTGACTTGTGTTAATGCAGAGGTCACTGCATTAATAATTAGGGACTGATATCAGTTACACTTATGTAGTATATGCTCATCTGATAAGATGAAATCAAACATGTCTGTTTGGTACAAGACCAGCACAATCCTGCTTTTAAATTAAATGGAAAGACACAAGCATTTCTGAGTTAAAGATGTTAATTTTAAATAGAAAATAGTTTATTCATTTTATACCTTGGCTTGTTCAAAAGAGCAGTTAAAGCTATAACAAGTTAAGATTAATAACAAGTATGAAAGACAGAGATATTGTGATACTTAGAGTCCTAGATCAGTATGCTCTTGAGGTGACTTGTTAAATGTCTTGTTGCTACCTAATAAAAGAGTAATATACAAATTAACCATCACTCTGCTATAAGCCACGCCCACCAACCAATCAGAGTGAGTATGCAAATTAATCCCAACCAAGATGGCTGCAGCCACAGAGAGCAGTTGAGAGGCTTGGGTTTCCCTGGCAATGGACGAAGCCAAGCTTTCCACACACCCTGGCCAGCCTAGCCTCCACTCAAGGCTACAAAGTTTCAATTATAGAAGATAAATCCCAAGAAAAATGGCGGCAGCCATGGAGCTGGAGAGAACAGGCTAGGATTGCCCCCGGCAATGGAGGAAGCCAAGTTTTCCACCTGCCCTGGCCTGCCTAGGCCCTCCACTTAAGGCTACAAAGTTTTAATTATTGAAGGTAAACAGAAATGGCAGCAGCCATGGACCAAGCAGGGAGCTTGGTTTTGCTCCAGGCTACAAAGTTTCAATTATAGAAGGTAAATACATTTCAGATACCAGGGCCTGCACTTGGGTCTCCAGTCCGCAGGCCGAAGCTCTATTCACTGAGCCAAACCGGCTTCAGCATATGCTGCCCTATATTGAGCCATGTCCCATATTTGGAATGCAGTGAAGGAAGATGTCTTCTGAACTGTGTTGGCAAAGCCTATATAATGAAGTGGCAATATGCAAATTAACACTCACACCCTCACAAGATGGCTGCCTATGACCTGGCCAGCAGGGGGGTTAGTGAGGGACAATCAAATGACTGAACAGTAGGCTGCATGGGACAACCAGGTTGGTGGTGGGGGCGGGGAGGGGGAGAGGGGCAACCAGGCCAGCAGGGGGGGAGTGGGAGCAACTAGGCTGGCAGGGAGGCAGTAAGAGGTGGACCAGGCTGGCAGCAGGCATGCAGTTGTGGGTGACCAGGCCAGCAGGGGTGCAGTTGGGGACAACCAGGCAAACAGGGGTGTGCAGTAAGGGGTGACCAGTCCAGCGGGGGGGATAATTAGGAGCAACCAGGCTGGCAGGGAGGTGGCAGTTGGGGGCAACCTAGCCAGCAGCAGGGGTCAGTTAGGGGCAACCAGGCCAGCAGGGGGAGGCAGGGATGACCAGACAGGCAGGCAGGTGAATGATTAGGAGCCAGCGGTCCAGGATTGTGAGAGGGATGTCCGATTGCTGGTTTAGGCCCAATCCCAATGCTGGTTTAAGCCCAATCCTCTAAACCAGCAGTCAGACATCCCACAAGGGGTCTCAGATTGGAAAGGGTGCAGGCTGGGCTGAGGAGACTCCCCACCCCCATGCTCAAATTTCGTGCACTGGGCCTCTAGTATAGGGATAAAAGAGAAACCCATGAGGAAATCCAGGGTTCCTTTCCATATAATTTCCTTCTGAAACTTCTTTCTGCTCAGGTTTTGTATTTCATTGAATGTGAAAGTCCGTTTCCCCACCCCCTTTTAAAAATTAAAAAATAAAAAAATTATTGGGGTGACATTGGTTAATAAGATCACATCTTCAAGTGTATATAGCCATGATACATGTATGCTTAGCACCAAAAGTCAGATCATCTTCCTGCATCATATATTTGGCCCCCTTTACTCAGTGAAGACTCATTTTGTTAAAATGAGCATAGAGTAAAATTTTTTCACTTAAACAAGTCTCAGAATTACCAAGAGTTAGGAAGCAATATCCTTAATTCAGCAGTGTTTTTATGAAGTTAAAAAGTGTGAAATGCTTTTTTATTGTATTTGAAAATGTCATCTCTGGTATAACTTGAGAGCAAATTTTTAAAATTATTATCTTATCTAAAAATATTTTTTATGAATTTTTAGAGAGGAAGGGAGTAGAAAGAAAGAGAAACATTGATGTGAGAGCAGAACATCAATTGGCTATCTCCTGCACACCCGCCACTGGGATCAAGAGTGAAACCCAGGCATGTGCCCTAACTGGGAATCAAACCAGCAACCTTTTGGTGCGTGGGATGACATCCAGCTAACAGCCACCCTGGCCAGGCCTAGAGTAAATTTATTTTTGTTGTAGCCATTTTCAAATAGATCATTGACTAAGATTTTAAAAATGCCTTTAATGTAATAAGACTTTCTCTTGTGGCTTAATAAGTTGGATTTGTTTTGTTCCAAAAGAATGTTTTTTAATGTTTTGAGAAAAGACACATCTCATTATAATTAACATTTGCACATGAGTTCTGATTTTTATTTTAATGGCTGATTTTTTAATAGTGATGCTCATTTTCTTCAAATTGCTATTTTTACATTATTTGGTTTATGTATATTAAGTGTAAATTCTTGACCTACAAAATCGTAAAGTTTTACCAATGATTTTCTAGGTAGTTTTAGATTAGCTAGAGGCCCAGTGCATGAAATTCACGCACATGGCGGGGGAGGGGTTGTCTCTCAGCCTAGCCTGCACCCACTCCAATCTGGGACCTCTTGGGAGATGTCTGACTGCCTGCTTAGACCCGATCCCACAGGCAGTCGACATGCCTCTCACAATCCCAAACTGCTGGCTCCCAACTGCTTGCCTGCCTGCCTGCCTGATTGCTCCTAACCGCTTCTGCTTCCAGCCTGAACCCCTCCTAACTGGCTCTCCTGCCTGCCTGATTGACGCCTAATTGCTCTCCTGCGCCTGATCCCCCCAACTGTCCTCTCCTGCCAGCCTAATTGCCCCCAACTACCATCCCCTGGTGGCCATCTTGTGATGATGCGAGGGCCAGACACCACCTAGGCTTTTATTAGTATAGATTAGCATTTTTATGGCTCACCAAAAAAAATGGCACTTCTAGTGAAACTGTGTTATATAGCCTGCAGGACATCTTGAACCAGCTTGGTTTTTACTCTAAATTTCACTGTTGTCCCAGCTTCTTCTTTTAACATGTAAGTCTTTTCCCTCCCTGCCATCCAGACAAGAAGATGGGAGAGGTAGGGATGGCCTTCATTGTCAGTAGTTCTTTATTCTTGATGTCAAAATGGGCAGCACAGTCATCTAAATTTGATCCAACTTCTCTATATCTTTTAGTTAAATAGCTAAAAGAATTAAATAAGAAGGCAGTGCTTGTGGAGTGTACAGTGCATGTTGGTGTCACACACCTCATTATGCTTCACCTGCTTGTTTCTCCTATTAGGTTGTTTGTTCCTTTTGAAGGCACTGGATGTTTCTCTTGTATTTCTGTTTTCATTTTCAACTTGGCAATGGAGGATGCCAAGCTTCCTGCCCGCCCTGGCCTTTCCTGGCCTCCACTCAAGGCTACAAAGTTTTAGTTATAGAAGATAAATAAATCTCAGATACCAGGGCCTCCGTTTGGGTTACTGGGGGGCATGTCCAGCCTGCAAACTACCACAGGACCCTTGCCCAGGCTGCCCCACACCCCAAGGGAACCCCCACCCTGATCCGGGACACCCTTCAGGGCAAACCAGCTGGCCCCCACCCATGCACCAGGCCTCTATCCTATTATAATAAAAGAGTAACATGCAGATTGACCATCACTCCAACACACATGATGGCTGCCCCCATGTGGTCAAAGATCCTGCCCCCATGTGGACACAAGATGGCCAGCAGGGGAGGGCATTTGGGAGGGATCAGGCTTGCAAGGGAGGGCAATTGTAGGCAATCAGGCAAGTAGGGGAGAGCAGTTGGGAGGCACCAGGCCTGCAAGGGAGGCCAGTTGGATGCAAACAACCCTGCAGGGGAAGGCAATTAGGGGTGATCAGGCCAGCAGAGGAGGGAATTTGGAGGCAAACAGGCTGGCAGGCAGAAGCAGTTAGGGGCAGTCAGGAAGGCGGGCAGGTGAGCAGTTGGGAGCCAGCAGTCCTGGATTGTGAGAGGGATGTCCACCGGGATCGGGTCTAAATGGGCAGTCAGACATCCCTTGAGGAGTCCCAGATTGGAGACGTTGCAGGCTGGGCTGAAAGACACGCCCCTTCCCCCCCTCCCCTGTGCTCCAGTCCTCTAGTATTACGTAAGTAAAGTGAGTTGGTGGGTAGGTAGGTGAATGAGTGAGTAAATGAGTGAAAGAGCAGAGGTTTGAAATGAAACTGGAGTGGTAGGTGGAAAACATTATGTAGGAGAGTGATAAAAATCCATTTTGTGTTTTTAAAAGATTATTCTGTCAGTTATATGAAGAATAGCAGGAGAGCAAGGCTAGAATAAGGAGTACCACCAATTAGGAAGATATTGCATGATCCAGAGCACAGTATGGTGTTGTCAGTGGAGATGGAGAGATCTATTTGGAGATAGATTCAACAGGACTTGCCAGTGGATCGCATATGGAAATTAGGGAAAGGGCTGTGGAAGACTGAGAGGACCTAAGTGAATGGTGGTGAAGGTTATTGAGCTGTGGTGATAACTGGAGAGGAGGAGTTTAAGGTAGGGATACAGCTTTCTACATTTTAAATTTGAGATGCCTGTGCCCTCTTTCTCATGAAGATGTCAGGCAGGCAGTTGGATATATGGATTTAGTTCTGAAGAGTGTTCTGAGTTAAAAAATGTACACTTGGGAGATAACATATATTGGC